AAGGTAAAATTTTATGAGTCCAATGATACAATTCCTTACGATTATCGGAAACTATTTTATTGTTAGAATGGGTATAAGAAGGCCCCCCAGTGGCACAGCTGTACGTCTGCGGACTTACAACGCTAGAATCCGGGTTTCGATACCCGTGGTGGACAGGGCACAGATAGCCCTTGTGTAGCTTTGTGCATGATTAAAAACAAAACAAAGCGTATAAGAATTAAAGAAATAAAAAAATAGAGCGACTCCTCGTGTCAATCGTATTCCTTTACGTGATTGTGCAATGATTTATTACACTGTAAGAGTGATGTTACAATTTCAAGAAGCGATTAATTACTAACTCCTCAGAATGTGGTTGGTTTCGTTTGGTTTAGCGCGAAAGCCACATAATGAGCTGTCTTGCGCCCTGTTCACCCCAGGGATTCAAACTCCATATTTTAGCTTTGTAACATTGCTATGGTACTTTTGAGAGGCTCGTAGAACAACTTAACTTAATTGTGGATAATTCTCTTTTGTTCGCGAAACTGGTACGCAAATTAATAAACAAACAAATGTACGATTCATTTATAATCCTTCCTAATTACATTACAGGAAATACGTTGCAAAGGATAATATGATAACAAAGCCTTTAAATATTAAGAGAAGTTGTTACTCATCGATAAATCAGATTACACGAAATACGTTGCAAAGGATAATATGATAACAAAGCCTTTAAATATTAAGAGAAGTTGTCACTCATCGATAAATCAGGATTACACGAAATACGTTGCAAAGGATAATATGATAACAAAGCCTTTAAATATTAAGAGAAGTTGTCACTCATCGATAAATCAGGATTACACGAAATACGTTGCAAAGGATAATATGATAACAAAGCCTTTAAATATTAAGAGAAGTTGTCACTCATCGATAAATCAGGATTGCTACGCTTTTTTTTTTATTTCGAGAGCAAGGATACGGCGGCACTATTTTAAATATACATATAACACTAAATGTTTGACTTTACGGGGGTGAGTATTATTTCACTATAAGTAATGACTAGTCGATGCTGAAATAAGACTTGGGTTAAAATACCCTCTGTAGCTGCTTAAAGTCCGCTAACGTAAGCCATGTTTGTGTGATTTGAATTTGTTTAATTTAGTGTGAAGTTAATACGCGATCCAAGTTAATATATAATGGTTTACTAAGCCTTATTGCACCGTATATTTTCATGTCCACGAACGGCTTCACTTTGACGCATATTAAATATTACGTAATTAAATGTTATATTTCTACGTAATATAAAGAAAAAGAATAAATACAATCTTTAAAATTAAAATATTTTCATATGGACATATTAAAACATTAAGGGTTCTGAATAAGCTGTGAAGATTTCTGTGTTTGTTTGTTGTTAAGCGTAAAGCCACATAATGGGCATCTTTGCTGTGCCAACCACGGGTATCGAATACCGGTTTTTAGCGCTAAATTGTGAAAAACAATCATCCAACTTTATAAGATATTATAAATAATATTTTGTATGATACAAACAAATCAATACCCATAACTTATGTGCGAATAATCGTATTTATTAATATAAGCATTAACGATAAGTGTGGTGTAATGTTTATGCAAACGATCACCATATATATATATATATATATAAATATATTAGTCATTTTAAGGTTAACATGAATAATAGGGTAATAATAGGGTGATGAAAATCTTGTTCGTGGAAGACTGTGACTGTAAAAATACGAACCAAACATGTTGAACTTACTTCGATAAAGTAGAAACAGTTACAAAATACTAACCTTAACAACATATATAAAGTCTATGTTTTTCTGTATGGTTTACTAATCTTTTTATTCGCCTAGTTTTATAGGAAGCATTAATACTTGAAGTGAGAGATAGCTATATGACTGACTCGTTACTGCAAGTTGAATAGGTAAGGCCGGCGAATGGTACAAATAACAAAAATAGACTAGTTTTGATTAATGGGCAACTTTAAATACAACTGAAACTCCTTTCGAAGAACGTATTTTTATTTACTCCGCGTCTTCTACCAGAGGGCAGATATACAAAAACATATACATAACTATCATTCTACTTCAGGATAACCAGAAACGATAAAAATAGACATATTTTCCTGGGTGCAGAAAATCTCTTACTTTGCATTCAAATGAAGTATTCGATAAAACATTAAGCTATCTTTTGAAAATGTTTAATAACAAAATCAATACTTCTTAGTATGAACCAGAATTAACCAGAACATGTAACACAGAATCAATATCTGTATTTCACTTAGTATGAAGAAGAATTAACCAGAACATGTAACACAGAATCAAAGCAGTAATTCACTTAGTATGAACAAGAATGAACCAGAACATGTAATACAGAATCAAAATCTGTATTTCACTGTATATGAACCAGAATGAACCAGAACATGTAACACAGAATCAAAGTTGTAATTCACTTAGTATGAACGAGAATGAATCAGAACATGTAACAAAGAATCAAAGCTGTAATTCACTTAGTATGAACAAGAATGGACCAGAACATGTAATACAGAATCAAAGCTGTAATTCACTTAGTATGAACCAGAACATGTAACACAGAATCAAAGTTGTATTTCACTTAGTATGAACAAGAATGAACCAGAACATGTAACAAAGAATCAAAGCTGTAATTCACTTAGTATGAACAAGAATGAACCAGAACATGTAATACAGAATCAAAATCTGTATTTCACTTAGTATGAAGAAGAATTAACCAGAACATGTAACACAGAATCAAAGCTGTATTTTACTGTATATGAAACAGAACGAACCAGAACATGTAATACAGAATCAAAGCTGTATTTCACTTAGTATGAACCAGAACAAGTAACACAGAATCAAAGCTGTATTTCACTTAGTATGAACCAGAACAAGTAACACAGAATCAAAGCTGAATTTCACTTAGTATGAACCAGAACATGTAACACAGAATCAAAGCTGTATTTCACTTAGAATGAACCAGAACATGTAATACAGAATCAAAGCTGTATTTCACTTAGTATGAACCAGAACAAGTAACACAGAATCAAAGCTGTGTTTCACTTAGTATGAACCAGAACAAGTAACACAGAATCAAAGCTGTATTTCACTTAGAATGAACCAGAACATGTAACACAGAATCAAAGCTGTATTTCACTTAGAATGAACCAGAACATGTAACACAGAATCAAGCTGTATTTCACTGGGTATGAACCAGAACGAACCAGAACATGTAACACAGAATCAAAACTGTATCTCATTGAGTATGAACCAGAACATGTGACACAGAATCAATGCTGCATTTTAGTGTAGTGATGTCTCTCTATATATCTTGCTTGAAGCAACAGTAACGGTTAATACAGTGCTCGTCGATACACAGAGTTTCACTTAAAGTTTTATTTATTTGTTAATAATATAATATTATATAATTGTGTTTTTATTCAGAAGTGTTGATGAGATAGCTGTATGTTTTCTTTACTTTCCACAGATTCCTTATCAGCTGAGTTTGGGCAGAGTAAATTTAGTGACTACAACAAGATACTACTTGAGGTATGAAAGTCATCAATGATGAAGTTCTAAAGAAGGATAATCATAGGATAAAAGTCATCAAGTAATTACTAGATAATACTACTCAAAATGATAAGCTCAAACAAAGAGATATTAAATGTTCAAAAATAGCTGCTATTAAGACTCCTTGTATCCGACCAATCCATATTGTGCTTATTATTACTATTATTTTGTAGCCCAGACAGAAATCGCTATTTGAAGCTGTATAGCTTTGTCAACAAGTAGAAATTTAAACAATTCCGTTAGTTGAGAAGGACATATTCACAACTCAAAAAACGCCGGACGTTCGTAAATCTGATAAATATATATATATCGTTAATATAATCAAGTTTCATTTTAGATCAAACATTTTTCAGAGCCTTTCTCCAGATGTGTTGGTAGGATTCCTAAGCGAACTTGAAACAAAAACATTGTTAAATTGATACTGTTGGCATTCAGCGAACTGTTCTCAGCGAACTGCATGGCGTTCTTGAACTATTCACAGGCTTAGTGTACCATCTATAAAAATTTGTTCACGTACGTTCGCTGGAAACCATATTTCTACCAGAAACGAGTGTGATCTTAATTAAATATTTTAAAGTAGTTTAGACCACATTTATCACAGCTTTGCAACTTTGAATTAAATAATTTCATGTTCATGGCAAGTGAATGAATGCAAACGAACTGTTGAAAATGGTATATCAGATCAATAATTCCGATTTAATTTATTTGTTGGCTTACCTCAATAATACCGTCTACTCGAACGAAACTCTTCCCTGGCCTAGCCAGCCAGACGAAGAAACCGTTAAACCCTACTACGGTGATCACTTGGAAACCTTTAAGGCTCGATACATTCCAGTTCATGGATATTTGAGTCTCATAATTTGTATCTTCGGAATCATGACCAATATATTAAACATTATAGTTTTAACTAGAAACAACATGGTGTCTCCAACTAACGCTATACTAACGGGTTTGGCTGTAGCCGACATGTTTGTTATGGCGTCCTACGTCCCATTTACCATTCATACTCATATTCACTCCTACCAACAGGAAGAAGATAAGTATTCGTACGCTTGGGCCGTTTTCACACTTTTTCATGCACATTTTACCGTTGTGTGTCACACCATCTCTATCTGGCTGACGGTGACGTTAGCCATCTGGAGGTTCTTGTCTGTCAGTTTCCCTGCCAACAGCAAGAAGTGGTGTACGATGCCCAGGGCAGAATGTGCCATCATTTCTACGTACGTAACATGCGCATTGTTTTGTATACCAATGTATCTGACATTTACCATATCGGAGGAACAGAAGGACACGCTACAGTACAAAGTGAACTTTAGCGCGATCGCCACCAGAAATAACCGTTTCCTGGAAAAGACCAATTTCTGGGTGTTTAGCGTCTTGACGAAGCTAGTACCTTGCGTTCTTCTCACCGGACTCAGCGTTGGACTCATACGTGTTCTTTACGAGGCGGATGTGCGCAAAAAAAGGTTGAAAAATCGAGCCAGCAGCGATAAATCCTCAGATCGTACTACCAGGATGCTATTGGCCGTACTCCTGCTCTTTCTTATCACCGAGTTTCCCTCCGGAATCCTCGCCTTGTTGAGTGGTATTCTCGGCAAGCCATTTTTCTTCAATGTCTACCTCAACTTTGGAGAGGTAATGGACATGCTGGCGTTGATCAACAGTGGCGTGAACTTTGTTCTGTATTGTTCTATGAGTAGACTGTTTCGTAAGACTTTTGCCGAACTTTTCACTCCAAAAATTGTGTCAAAATGGATGTCTGTACCCAACGAACCCACTACTTTCGCTACTACTTGTGTGTAGAAGTCAAATATGAATCAAATGCTGATGTGAAACTTGTATTGATTGAGCTTAGCCTGCGACATATTGTTATTGAAGAATAAGTGGGGATTATAAATCTTCATTACAGTGATAAACTTCTTGTGCTACTACCAGATTCGGCATATTCTTAAATCGTTGACCACCCCCCGAAAAAACAACAACAACCCTTAAAGCCATAAAGGTTAAGTTGATACTAGCTACTACCAACGTTTCATTTTCATCTTGACCTGAGGGCCTTCTATTTGATGCTACCGTTCAATAGACATAGATATCTCGTTGTGGCAAGGAGTCGAAGATGTCTGAAGATGTGCTGTTGTAACAGAATTTTAACACAGATTTTGTTTTAAAAAGTGGATAGGTAAATTATGAACACAGGTTGACGTAATCAACTGTTACAGAGCCTGAGAGGGTTTATTTGCACTGGATTCTGCTTCGTGGTTCAGGTGAAAAGTAGTACTTGTTATCTAATGTTCGTGTTTTTGTAGAAAGACAATACCACTGGAGTAATGGAGTTCAGTGCTTGGGGCTATAAAACCTCTTAGGTCTGTTACAGAGGGTTATTATTCAGTGTTATTACATACCGGTTATTCACTAATTAACTCCGTGAAGTAGATTAAATGTTATTTTGTTGTTCGATAACGTATCTTGTTATATTAGCCTATTCTTTGCTGTATATTTAATAATATTTGTCTTGTTATAATATATATATATATATTCCAAGTATTAAGAGCGCCACCTTTGATCTATTTCTGTGGAGATAGAACGTGTAGAATTTTGATTTTGATCACTCAGTACTGTACGTGCACTGAATATTAAACTGTACACCGTTATTACCGATCTGTTTTAACGTTTATTCGTTATCCAGCTTCTCCATTCACTCTTTGCTTATACCAAAATTTCACTTTTTTCAGAGATTTATATAATTTGAAACATGCGCTTTTCTATTGATTTGCCTTATAAACCAATACATGACGTGGTCTAGAGACAAGTATTATTATTATTATAATATACATAAGTGTTACTTTACCCCTAACGTTTTTTCGACGACAGATGAAATGAATAACAATGCGGGTTATTAGCAATTTCATATTAGCATTAATTAATCGTGAGTTTTCAATTTCCGTCATTTGGAAATTTATTTCCGCTCAAAGAGAAAGTAAAACATAGTCTGTGAAATGTATTTTTTTTTATTTTTTTTTGGTTTTAAAAACTGGCAACCGTTAAAATTGCAATATAAAATAAATGAATATTTAATTCTTTGACATGAAATTGTGTATTATTTCCTAAAGCTTAACTGAGAGAAAATATATTTTGGAACATGTTAAATATAAAATGAAACAACAAAACTCTGATGTATCAAGGAAAAATTCATAAAATTGTGGGCCCGGCATGGCCAGGTGGATAAGACGCTCGACTCGCAATCTGAGGGTCGCGGGTTCGAATCCCCGTCCCACCAAACATGCTCGCCCTTTCAGCCGTGGGGGCGTTATAATTTGACGGTCAATCCCACTATTCGTTGGTAAAAAGAGTAGCCCAAGATCTGGCGGTGGGTGGTGATGACTAGCTGCCTTCCCTCTAGTCTTACACTGCTAAATTAGGGACAGCTAGCACAGATAGCCCTCGTGTAGCTTTGCGCGAAATTCAAAACAAACAAACATAAAATTGTGTATTAAGTATATATCACATATCTTAAACATAATAAAAAAATTACCAGAAAACCGTTTTTATGTTGTTCACAACACATTCGCCTGTAAAATGTTAAATTTCATATACCGTGTACCATAAGTGATCAAATTCCACCTTCAACCACTGTCCAGTCTTAACATCCAGATCAAATGGAAGGACTTGTAAGTCCCAAGAACCACTTTACAGACACATCGTGCGCACCGAACCCTATTGCGCTGAGTGACAAAAGCAATACCTGAATACACCATAACGACTTGGCTACCTCTCACTGAATATACCATAACGACTAGTTACCTTCCACTGAATACACCATAACGACTTGGCTACCTCTCACTGAATACACCATAACGACTTGGCTACCTCTCACTGAATACACCATAACGACTTGGCTACCTCTCACTGAATACACAATTAGGACTGGCTACCTTCCACTGAATACACCATAACGACTTGGCTACCTCTCACTGAATACACCATAACGACTAGTTACCTGTCACTGAATACACCATAACGACTTGGCTACATCTCAATGAATACACAATTAGGACTGGCTACCTTTCACTGAATACACCATAACGACTTGGCTACCTCTCACTGAATACACCATAACGACTTGGCTACCTTTCACTGAATACACCACCAGGACAGGCTACCTCTCACTGAATACACCATAACGACTGGCTACCTTCCACTGAATACACCACCAGGACTGGCTACCTTCCACTGAATACACCATAACGACT